ACTTTTTTATGAAATTTGACAAATGGGTAGATAGCAGTCTGGAAATTATGCACACCCTTTTCTTATCTTCCTTTGTTGAAAATTCTGGTTGCTATGGCAACAAATAGACTGAATTTCAAGATTCCTGATTATAGTTTTTAAGTTTTTTCACTATAAGTTCTTTATAAGTCCCCTACCGGTTTACCGGAGGGGACTTTAGGTTTACCCTCCGTCCGTCCGTCCGTCCGTCTGTCTGTCAGTCAGTTTGTCCGTCCACAAAACTGGATCCCGCGATAACTTGAAAAGTACTGAAAATATTTTTATGAAACTTGGTATATGGATAGATGGCAGTATGGAGATTATGCACGTCTTTTTCTTTTCTTCCTATGTTGAAAATTCTGGTTGCTATGGCAACAAATAGGCTGAACAGGGCTTGACACTAACTTTTTTTAGGGGTAGTCAGAACTACTTTCAGGATCAGGTAGTCCTTGACAAATCTAGGTAGTCCTCATTGTTAAACATAAAAAAATGTTTCTTATTCTATTTAAATGCATTTTGAGTGTACATGTATGTATCTGAAGATAAGAAAACAATAGCATGAGATCTCTTCAAATTTATTGGAAAAAATCACCAATAGATAAATCATATAAGATCTAGTAAAAGTTTGTAAGCTTTATTCTGCATGAGATGTAGGTTCCGGCTAGCCTCTGAGCTCTTCAAAGTCATCATCAACATTTTTTACATATTTTTGTAATAAAATATGGCAGTGTGACACACAAAAGTCAATAGGTTTTGAAAGGCCAGACATAATCTACAGGTACAGGGTTCTAGCCAGGAATTACTAAAGTGTGTTGCAAATAAAATTGCTAGGCAATCAGCTCAGCTTATATTATTGACAGCTTATAGGGAAGCGGAGAATATATTGGCAATATCAGCTAAATAAGTATGTCAGTTTTAAATTTATGTAATACCTGGCTTTTGTATTAAAAAAATATTTCAATAGAGCTTACAAATCTACTTTCAGGTATAGATAATGTATGACCTTTTAGATGTGTTTTTAAATTCAAAACAGAAGTAAAAAGCTTGGACAAGAACAAAATATGTTTGTCTTTACTATAATTGATTTATTCTACAAACTTATTTTGTCAGACATAAAACAACAAAATATCAGAAAAACAAACTTGTACTAGTGCTAGTAATTCAGTTATTTAACTGTCAGAAGATTTAAATAGGGACATTAGATTAATATCTGTTGTCCCTGATTTAAACACGAAATTAGAAATGTAAAGCCATTTTTATTCAAACTATATTGCCTTAGTTTTTTATGCCTAGGGTATTAGTATTTGTTAACAATTTTTTTCTTCATATACATGTATTGGCATTATTGCTTACATTTGCTTGTACATGATTAAGAAGTGCTTATGTAACATTGTGAAGTTATGGCAAAGACAATTACAAATACTTTAGAATATTTCTTTTCTCTTTTTTAAAGAGATTTAAACATTTTTCTTCTCTTTTTTTATAAAGAGATTTTTTCCCAATCAATAATTTCATGTCCGAATAAATTACATCCGAAATCAGATCTATTTCAGACAACACGTTTATTTTGGTTATCATTGTCAGTGTTATTTACATCAATCAACAAATCATATTCTTTTAAGTCTAAACCATTGAATAGGTTCCAATATGAGCAAATATTTTCATTTAAATGTTTAATAGACAAAGAATTCTATTGAAGTAGGCTGGAAAAATCGGCAATTAAGTTGGACTTCTGGTTTCACTTTTCGCAACTTTATAGAGATTTAAAATAGAATCTATTATGCGTCTGCTGTGACTGACACTAGTGACCCAACGGGTAATTATTTACTAGTAAGATGAATTTATCTTTCGTTTTGAATCATAGCCTAAAAAATGTTATTTTATTAATTATTTTTAGTGAATTTAGAGGCATCAGGTCACTGAAATTTTGAGTAGCCCGACGGGATACCCAGCTTGGAAACTCGGGTAGACCTTGGGGAAAATTGGTAGCCTCGGGCTAACGGACCATCGTTAGTGTCAAGCCCTGCTGAAAATATGGCAAATTTTACACATAAACTGGATCCAGTGATAACGCAAAAAGTACTTTAAATATATTTATGAAACTTGACATATGGGTAGATGGCAGTCTTGGAATTATGCACGTCTTTTTCTTTTCTTCCTATGTTGAAAATTCTGGTTGCTATGGCAACAAATAGGCTGAAAATATTGCAAATTTTACACATAAACTGAATCCAGTGATAACTCAAAAAATACTGGAAATATTTTAATGAAACTTGACATATGGGTAGATAGCAGTCTGGAGATTATGCACATCTTTTTCTTTTCTTTTATGCATGTCTTATCTTTTCTTCCTATTTTGAAAAAAAAATTGGTTGCCTTGGCAACAAATAGGCTTAAAACATGGCAAATATAACAATATCTGTGATTAGTCAAAAAGAGCTGAAAATTTTTATGAAATAGCATCTTTTATTCAAGAGTTATCTCCGCTTTAAAAATTTTGCTTTTAAAATGTTATATTTTGGTAACAGGGATGTTTTAAATATTAACTTTAGACTGTGTCCTTCAGTCCGTCTGTCTTTCTGTTCATAAAAACTGTTTCCTGTGATCACTTTTAAAGAACTTTTCCAACAAGTTTACTTAAAATGGAGAAAAATTGAAACATTAGTGAATGGCCAATGGCCCTTCAGAATGTTGATGGGGTTCTAAACGGTAGGGGACTTATGGATTGCTTGCAATACTATGATAATTGCTTGTTTCTTAAGGTATTTTCTTCAAACTTTAAATATAAGTTGCTAGTCATCAACCACATCATATGTGACAAGGTTTACAACTCTAGCACAAAATTTATCAGAATTACCCCTTGAACTTAAAATTTCATGAAAAATATATTGTCTTTTTTAATAACTTCTTTTTTTCTGAATGTATCTACTTCAAACTTCATAATTATTATATATGTTTCTTATTATCACTCAACATTTGTGAGAAAGGTCAATACTCTAGCAAGACTTTTAGGTAATTATGCCCCTTTGAACTTTTTTTCCAGAAATTGGTAATTTTTACTCCAAATTCTTCAATCATTATAGGATTTTTTCTTCAAACTCCTTCAGTGTCCTTCAGTCCGTCTGTCTCTCTGTACATAAAAACTGTTTCCTGTGATCACTTTTAAAGAACTTTTTCAACCAATTTACTTTAAATAGAAACATAAGTGAATGGCCAATAACCCTTTAGAATGTTGCTAGGGCTCTAACCGGTAGGGGACTTATGGATTGCTTGCAATACTATGATAATTGTTTGTTTTTCAAGGTCAGGGAAAAGTCAGGGAATTTAGAAATTGGTCAGAGAAATTTGAAAAATAAGCAAAAGTCAGGGAAAAGTCAGGTAATTTTGTAGAAATTTTTTTTGTCAAACAGCAAGAAGCAAAATCAGTAAAAGCTAAGGCAGTTTCTTCCATTATTTTGGGTATCTTTATTGTTATTTTTTATTATGTGTTTTATTTTTATATTCTTTTACTGTTAAAAATGACTATGCTTCTGCCTGAAGATTTTGGATATTTTTGTCACTAACAGTAACTAACTTATTAAGAAAGAATCTAAAAGGAGTTTAAGCATCCATTGCCTCCTGAGCTATTTATGGTTTGTTCTTGTGAAAGAGGCTGATAATCTGCTCTGGAGGCTGAAAAAAGATGAAAATGGACTTGCTTTTGAAGTCAAATGCCAAGTGCAATGCCTTCAGGGTCAAGGTGAAAGAAAAGTAATAAAAGAATCCAGTAAAGAAAAAGAGAAACTTCAGAAACACTTTGTGGACTTTGATTAAGTGCCATGTTGTGTTTTTGCACACATGCATTAAACCATAACTTTGAGATACTAACTGCCATAGCTAGTTTTATTAGTAGTAATTTATCTCTTACTGCATTCTGCTTTTTATGTAGCCACTTCATTACCTGTCTTATTGTTTCTTGTCCATCACCAGTTTTCCATTGATAACTATCATATATTTTATTAAAATGCAGGCCTGTTTTAGTCAATCCTCCAATGATTACACTGATTTGTATTTTTTAAGAGAATGAAACATCTTGTATTATCAAATACTTTACATTTTGGATAATGTACCCATACTTGTTGAAAGTAAACAAGACAAGTAGCTTATGACAATTGCTCTCTAATATTCATTTTTTTATCTTGAACAATTTAAAATAAAGAATTGGAGAAAGTAGGTTGGCTGTTTGGGGAGGAGGAGGTCGAAATACCTGTATAAAAAAACATTTAATGCTTTAAGATTGTGCAACCTTGACGCTGTTATTGGTCAGGGAAAAATGGTTTTGGTCAGGGAAAAGTCATGGAAAAGTCAGGGAATTGTAATTGCTCTCCTTTGTGGGATCCCTGAACTTAAGGTTTATTTGGTCCACAATATTCAAACTTCATCGGATGATTGTCCATATTGGGTAGAATACCCCTATTGATTTTGGGGTCACAAGGTCAAAGGTCAAGATCACTATTTCTTTTAAACTGAAAACAGTTTTCGGAGCATAACTAAATTTCTATTTGGCCCATAATATTCAAACTTAATAGGAGAATTGCTATTGGAAGGAGGTAATACTTCATTTAATTTATGTAATGTCTTACAAAATAATGCTTCATCGTTAAAAAAACAAAAACACTTTAGGGCATATAATGCTCCGCCTAGCGGTGCTCTTGGTTTATACAGACTTTATTTTAGTTTGATTGTGCAGGAAGCTATAAGCTTATAAACACACTTTTGAATCAGTTCCTGGAACCAACCAGTACTGAGCAATGAGTGTAAAGTTTCTTGCTCAAGGAAACAACGACTTGCCCCTGTCAGGGTTTGAACCTATGAGGCTAGCGATCATTAGATTACTAGTCCGAAGCGTTAACCACTCGGTTAGCGGTGCTCTTGTGTTATCTTGTTCTAGTATACCTAATCTATTTGCTTTGATGATATTGCTTGACTGTTTTCTTTTTCAGGTACAAAAGACACTTGGTATGGAGAACTTGATATTTTAGCAGGGAGCCAAGTAAAAGGAGATTCTGTCTCAGTGACTGTAAAAAATTATGATGGAAATCAGGAAATAGAAACACAGAAATCTGAGAAAGATAGTGATGATGAGGAAGAAAACCAATACAAGAAATCCACTGAAGAAAAGGATGAAACTCCTGGAGATCGAACAAACATCGAGGCGGAATTTAGTGGATTAATTCAGGCACTTAATCAAGTTTCTACTCAGGCAGTTGTGTTTGCCTATACTGAATTCAACAGGCATAAAACAATGGGACATTGTATTCCTTCAATCTACATTGATAGAAGCACTTTTCAGTATGTCATGTACAGTCCTGTTGAAGATGTACTTCTTGTTTCTAATCATATGGTGTACACCGATCCAAAAGACTTCGATAAAGAAACAGGTTATAGGCCATTTATAGTCTTATGGATAATCCTTAACCACAGGTTGTTCTTTAGAAAATGTCCAGATTTCAGAAAGCGTTTCAGCAAAAGTGGGTTCCATCAGAAGATTCAGAATTTGGAAGCATTCCAAAATTTGACTCAATATTCAAATGTCTTGTCTGTAAAAAGAAATTATCGTTTTGAAAATGATACTCCAAATACAATTCGCCCACCAGCAATGGAGTGGTTTCTTGACAAATGTGACAAGTTTTGACATGTTTGATTTAAGCATGACCTCTTTCTAAGAGAACAGGTCCATTATGATGTCCATATTCTCATTTTGCAAAGAATTAATATTAAATTTCTAAGTCATCTGCATCCCAGGAATGTGTCTGTAGGGACTTTTATTGAAAGTAAAGCTAAAGTCAGATAGGCCATAACACAGCTAGATGATTTTTTATTCCATCGCAGCATCTGCGATTTGGTGGCATATGGCGATTCACCTGTGTGTTTGTTTGTGTGTGTTTGTGTGTGTGTGTTCTATAGATTATATAGTGAACTTAAAAAATCTTCTTGTGAAAAACCAATTGTCCAATTTCAACCAAACTTGGCAGGATTGATCCCTGGGTGAAGGGCTTCCAAAAGTGTTGAAAGAAATTCATTCTATGCAGAAATCTGGTTACCATGGCAACCAAAAGGAATTATAAGATTAAATTAAAAAAAATTCTTGTATAGACCCAAAAGGCCTTGAGCTTAGATATTTTGCATAAGGCATTTTCTGGTAGACCTCAGCCAGGATTGTTCAAATTATAGCTCTAGGGTCCAAATCAGCCCTGCCCCGGGGGTCATTGATTTTCACTTTATGTACATATAGTAAAAACTTAAAATACCTTCTTGTCTGAAGGTACTAGGCTTAGAGGTTTGATATTTGGTATGTGTTATTATCTATCGGTACTTTACCAAAATTATTCAAATTTTGCCTCTAGTGTCAAAATCAGCCCCACCCCGGGGGTCATAGGTTTTTCATATGTATATAGTAAAAACTTAAAAAATCATCTTCTCGAAATTGACAAAGGCTAGAGGTTAGATATTTTGCATGTAACATTGTGTAGTGAACCTTTAGCAAGATTGTACAAATTATAGCCCTGGGGTCAAAATTGGCCCCAGTCCCAGGGGTCATTGATTTTCACTATGTACATATAGTAAAAAATTAAAAAATCTTCTTGTCTTTGGTATATGATATCATCTATATTTACTCGACCAAAGTTGTTCAAATTTTGCCTCTAGTGTCAAAACTAGCCTTGGTGTCATAGGTTTTCCTTACAAGTGTATAGTAAAAACTTTAAAAAAATTATCATCTCTAATTGACAATGGCTACTGGGATCCTACATATTACCGGACAAAATATGATGTTTTTTCGCTGTAACTTTTATTCAAAATAATAAAAAAGAATGAAATTTTACCCAAATATATGTGGGTTCTTAATATACTTAAACATTCCTTTATCAAACATAAAATTCAATATTTAACCGTTGAAATGTGTCTTTAAAGTAGGGCATTAAAAGAGGGAAAAAATCGTGTAGACAACTCAATTTACCGGACATGTATGAAACATTGTGTTTCAATTTTGTTTGAAGTCTTAAATTGAAATTTAGCAAGGAAACTACGACTATTAAATTTCAATGTTAAGATACTGGAAAACCCTAGTATGTCACTAAATTAGACACGGCAGCCATGCTTGTTACGAAGAGGCAAATATAGGGATGTAATTGAAATCAACACTATTAACTCAATTAACGTATTCATTCTTCATGATCCTTAAACTTATGAAACATTTTGATATTCAAATGGAATTTTGTTCTTTGTCATAGTTTCCCTTTGGTCATCATGTAGCATGTTGCAAAAGCCATAAAGTCTATTTCTTGTACATTTCATGTAGAGTTTCCTCCCATGGGCTTTACCCGTTTCCTTATAATATTATTTATGTATTTTAATTTGCATTTTTATTGTAAAAGACAACAACGAGATATTGTTTGAACGAAACTGAAAATAACTTTTTATCATTAAAATATGTTACGATTAACTCCTGAGGTAACGTTGAGAAGAATTAAAAGTAAAACCTATCTAAAATAACCCATTAAGGACCTCAATATTCGGGAATGCGCAACACAGATTATTCCCCCGCATGACCAGGTCATGGAATAACTAGTAAAAAAAAGGGTATGTTAGTAAATAAAGAACTGAATCAACAATACTTACCTGAGAGTGGTTTTGTTGTTATTTACTTTGAAATAGAAAGTGTGTGTACGATTCACACCGGATGAATTTTGAATGGAGGCAAAAATTAAGCCTTATTTAACAGGAATAGATTTTGTCCGGTAAACTGGTTGTCTGGTAAACATGTAGGATCCCAGTACAGGCTAGACATTTTGCATTAAACATTGTGTAGTGAACCTCTAGCAAGATTATTTAAATTAAAGCCCTCCAGGGTCAAAATTGGCCCTGCCCCTGGGGATCATTGATTTTCAGTCACTCTGTCAAGTAAAAAATAAAAATCTTATTGTCTGAAGGTACTAATCTGTTAATAACAGATAGGTAAGTGATCTATACATTATGGCAATCTGTATAGAAACAAAAAAATTGTGTTTCTACATTACTATTTATTGTTGTATTTATGCAGTGGCATGGCATTTTTAGCTCAGGGTGAGCTTTTGTGATCGCTATTCGTCCGGCGTCTGTCCGGCGTTTGAAACTTTTACTTTAAAGGACATCTCATCTTAAACCACTGATCCAATTTCATCCAAACTTCACATGAATGTTCCTTTGGTGGTCACCTTTGAAAAATGTTCAAAGAATTTAATTCCATGCAGAACTCTGGTTGCCATGGCAACCAGAAGAATAAACTTTAAATATCATCTTCCAAAAACCCCAAAGAGCTAGAGCTTCGCTATTTGGCACAAAACATCTTCTAGTGAGTCAAGGTCTACCAAGTTTGTTAAAATAAAAGCCCTTGGGGCAAATTTGGCCCCGCCCAAGGGGGTCATTGATTTTCCCTATATGCATATAGTAAAAACTTAAAAAATCTTCTTTTAAAGAACTCAAAGAGCTAGAGCTAAGATATTTAGCATGAAACATGTTCTAATGGGTGTCTACCAAGTTTTTTCAGGGCTATATACATGATGGCCCTCTTGTTTAAACTATGATTATGTGACAGGTTTGGGGTGTAAACTTCAGAAAGTCCTTCATTTCGAATGTTAACTATCATCAAACACATATTTTGTGAACATTAAATGAGCTGTACCCCTTTATGTACATATGGATCATCCTGGGTCAAAAACTAGATCACTAGGTCAAAAAACCTTGTTAACACCTGAGAGGTCACAATTTTGATGCAATCTCCATCAAACTTGGTCAGAATGTTTATCTCAATGATATACAGGTCAAGTTTGGATATGGGTTATATCTGTCCAAAAATTAGGTCACTAGGTCTAAAATACAAATGGACTTGAGTGAATGATAAAGGGCCATCATGGCCCTCTTGTCCTAATGTAATCTTGTTTGTGCTTGTTCTACCAATCTGCTGGGCGGATTTCAGTATAACTGCAGAAGAACATTGTGCATGAAGCCTGTCACAATAAGTGATATTTCTAGTTCGACTTGTGATAAAGATGTATGCTGCATATTGTAATATTTTGAATGTGGATGTAAAATATCCTAAAGTGGTAAAAGATTATATTAATTTATTATTAAAAATTTTATATATGAATTTTCAAATGCTCAAGAATTTGTTTTTATTGCTTTAGCAGTTAACAATTACATGTACTTGTACTGGATTTATTTTTGGATTCAGTTGCCTGATTTTTAATGGACTACTAAAGTTTACATGTCTGTCTCAAAAATATTTTTAATTTAATTTGGTAAATTGTAAGTTAAGATTATTTGTAAATTTCGTAAGAAGGCAGTAATTTATGACATTGATGTGATTTTGTTGTTTTTTTCATAGAATTGATTGTTCATAATCTGTTACTTTTATTGGCAATGTGGGCTTCTAGAATCACTCTATTCGTCAGTGGTAAATTTTGCCTCAAGGTACATCTTATTATAAACGGTAAAACCACTTTGAATATATGTTCAGTATCTAAAGGGGACTTAATTATTAAGAGAAGATAATCCTAAATTTATTTTACTGGTTGTTTTTTCCTTAAAAGTATTAAAGTACCTTAAAGGTATTTATTTATTACTTGATATACAGTTTAACTATGAAAAGAGCAAGCCTTTAAACCTTAAAATTCATAATAACTGAGTTATGTCCCTTAGAATTTTCCGTGAAAGGCATTTTCTTACAATCCATCATCTGTGAAATATCTAAGGTATTTATTTGATATTTTGAAATACTTGCTTTTAATTATTGTGGACGCATCTCCTTTGGGACATTGTTAAAGGGATTTGACTCAAACTTTGACAGATGATCAACCTAGATGTGTAGTTGATCATACTGGCTGAAATTTTTGATGCACACAGTTAGCTGAATTATGGCCCTTTATTGTTTCCTTCACTATACATTACATAGAGGGAAAAATTGTGAACACAATACCTCTTACACCCTTTGGGGAGCATTGCACTTGTCCTTAAGTATGTCCTGAAATTTTGTGGATATTGTTAAAGATATTTGGCTCAAAGTTACCCAGATGATCAACTTAGATGTGTAGTTAGTAATACTGACTTGAATTTTCGATACAATTTTAGAGCAAACATTAAAAGTGGGGGGGTTGCATTAGTTCTAGTTTATATTGTATTTTCTGACTAATTGTACATTGTTTTATCTAATGCAATTTCAAAGTGTATATAGTATTATATGATAGATATTTCTGAATATAAGATGTTGTTAAAAAAAGATTTTTTAAATTGTCTTTTGTCACTAATTGTACATTGTTTTACTTAATGCAATTTTACAGTGAATTGTTTGTTATATGATATTCATTTTGAATATAAGATGCAGTTTAAAAAAAAGATTTTTTTTACATTGTCTTTTGTGCTTAATTGTACATTGTTTTAACTAATGCTATTTTATAGTGTATAGTGTGATATATGATAGATATTTCTGAATATATAAGATGTAATAAGATGTAGTTATAAAAAGATTTTTTTATATTGTTTTTTTTTTTGTGATCATTGTTTATTGATTTACCTAATGCAAATTTGTATGCCACCACATATAGCGATTCACCTTTGTGTGTCTGTCTGTATTAAAAAATCTTTTTGTGAAAAAACACTAGTCTAATTTCAACCAAACTTTGGATGATTGATCTATGGTTAAAGTGCTTTCAAAGTTGTTCAAAGAATTTCATTTCATGCAGAAGTCTGGTTGCCATGGCAACCAAAAGGAATTATAAGAATAAATTTTAAAAAATCTTTTGTAAAGACCAACAAGGTCTAGAGCAAAAATAATTTGCATAAGGCATTAATTGTCTGGGAGACCTCTACCAAGATTGTTCACATTACATCCCTTGGGTCCAAATTGGCCCAAGCCAAGAGAATGATAGGTTTTCCTTATATAATTATGTATATGGTAAAAACTTAAAAATCTTCTTGTCTGAAGGTACAACGCTTAGAGCTTTGATATTTTGTATATGTTATCCTCTATATGTCCTCTACCAAAGTTGTTAAAATTTTGCCTCTAGTGTCAAAATTGGCCTGCCCCGGGGGTCATAGGTTTTCCTTATACACATGTATGTATATGGTAAAAACTTCTCAGAATTGACAAAGGCTAGAGATAAGATATTTGTCATGAAACATTGTGTAGTAAACCTCTACCTAGATTGTTCTGTTTATAGCCCTTGGGTCAAATTTGGCCCCGCATCGTGGTCATAGGTTTTCCTTATATGTATATGGTAAAAGGTAGAAACTTAAAAAAAACTTCTTGTCTGAAGGTACATTAGAGCTTTGATATTTGGTGTATTATATCATCTATAGGTCTTCTACCAAAGTTATAAAAATTTTGCCTCTAGTGTCAGAATTGGCCCCGCAAGGGGAGGGGGGTCATAAGTTATCCTTATATGTATATGGTAGAAACTTAAAAAACCTTCTTCTCTGAATTAACATAGGCTAGAGCTTAGATATTTTGTGTAGTTTACCTCTACAAAGATTGTTCAAATTATAGCCCTGGGGCAAAATTGGCCCCGCCCCAGGGGTCATAGGTTCAATGCGGTGGCATAGCATTTTTTCACAAATGCAATCTTGGTTTAATTGGAACTGTAAATTTTTCTTATAGCTAAACAGACTGGTACTGAACATAATGAGTTTTTGTAAATAAAAATAACCTAATAAATTTGTTAAAGTTTTCATTTAAGTACTCACCCCATTTTAGCACCCAGGGTGCTTAGAAAAATGCTAAAGATGGGTGCTTATTAACCCAAGCCAATCCTCTGCAAACTGTTTTTATCTACTCCAATAATGCACAACACAAAACAAGGAGTTAAGTTTTTTTCCTGGAAATTAAACGAAAAACGAAACTGAAAACGCCAATTGCCAATAATCACCAATGAAAAAAAAAAATACTTTTAATCAATATCAAATTGTTAAACCAGAAAAAAATCAATCTTTTTTTAGCTTGACTTTTTTTTTGAGAAAAAAAAGAAATATTGCCAGTCAGGTTGGTGTTTTCATTGCGTCCAAAAACTTTAAAGTTGATCATAATATTTTTAGCTCGACTATACGAAGTAAATGGAGAGCTGTCCTACTCGCACTGGCTTCCGCGTCCAGATTTCAGATTAAAGTTTTGGTGCAGTAAAATATTTTTCACTATAACTTTGTCATTTCTAAAGGTATCAACTTCAAACAGATGTTTCTTATCATCAACCACATCTTATGTGACAAGGTTCATAACTCCTGCACCAATATTCTCAGATTTATCTCCCCTTGAACTAAGAATTTTTCCTTAAAAATACTATTAGCTCGACTATACAAAGTATATGGAGAGCTGTCCTACTTGCCCCGGCGTCGGCGTCCAGATTTTAGATTAAAGTTTTGGTGCAGTAAAATATTTTTCACTATAATTTTGTCATTTCTTAAGGTATCAACTTCAAACTTAAAATATATGTTCCTTATCATCAACCACATCTTATGTGACAAAGTTCATAACTCTAGCACCAATATTTTCAGATTTATCTCCCCTTGAACTTAGAATTTTCCATAAAAAATCTAATTTTCTACTGTAACTTATTTATTTCTAAAGGGATCAACTTCATACTTCAAATATATTAACGTTATCATCATCCACATCTTATGTGACAGGGTTCATAACTCTAGCACCAGTATTGCAAGAATTATCTCCCCATAAACTTAGATTTATTTACTAGAAAAATGTTATTTTTTATTTTAACTTTTTTATTTTTAAAGGTATCTACCTCAAACTTCAAATACTTATTCCTTATCATCAATTACATTTTATGTGACAATGTTCATTACTCTTGAAGCAATATTTACAGATTTATCTCTCTTTGAGCTTAGGATTTTCTTTAAGAAATATAATAACTTCTTTATTTTTTAAGGTATCTACTTCAAACTTCAAATATATATTTCTTATCATTTCACAAATGTTGTGTGGCAAGGTCCATAACTCTAGCATGACTATTTCTAGAATTATTCCCCTTGATCTTGGAATTTATGTTAACAAATGTTATTTTTTTACTATAACTAAATACATAATTATACATAATTGATTTTTCTTTCATAGTTTTGTCCTCCTTACTGCGTCCAGTATTTTATTAGTTGAGCTTCGCTGTCTCCTGTGACAGCTCTTGTTTTAAGCTCACCTGTCACAAAGTGACAGGGTGAGCTTTTGTGATCGCTTTTCGTCCGGCGTCCGTCCGTCGTCCGTCCGTAAACTTTTACTTTAAATGACATCTCCTCATAAACCACTAAGCCAATTTTATCCAAACTTCACAGGAATGTTTCTTTGATGGTCACCTTTAAAAATTGTTCAAAGAATTTAATTCCATGCAGAACTCTGGTTGCCATGGCAACCAAAAGAAAAAACTTTAAATATCTTCTTTTAAAAAACCATAAGAGCTAGAGCTTAGATATTTGGCCTGAAACATCTTCTAGTGAGTCAAGGTCTACCAAGTTTGTTCAAATAAAAGCCCTGGGGTCAAAATTGGCCCCGCCCCGGGGTGTCATTGATTTTCCCCATATGCATATAGTAAAAACTTAAAAAATCTTCTTTTAAAGAACTCAAAGAGCTAGAGCTAAGATATTGAGCATCAAACATGTTCTAATAGGTGTCTACCAAGTTTGTTCAAATAAAAGCCCTGGGGTCAAAATTGGCCCCGCCCCAGGGGGTCATTGATTTTCCCTATATGCATATAGTGAAAACTTAAAAAATCTTCTTTTAAAGAACCAAAAGAGTTAGAGCTAAGATATTTAGCATGAAACATGTTCTAATAAGTGTCTACCAAGTTTGTTCAAATAAAAGCCCTGGGGTCAAAATTGGCCCCGCCCCGGGGGGTCAATGATTTACCGTATATGCATATAGTAAAAACTTAAAAAATCTTCTTTTAAAGAACTCAAAGAGCCATGGCTAAGATATTTAGCATCAAACATGTTCTAATAGGTGTCTACCAAGTTTGTTCAAATAAAAGCCCTGGGGTCAAAATTGGCACCGCCCCGGGGGTCATTGATTTTCATTATATGTGTATAGCAAAAACTTAAAATCTTCTTTGAAAAAACCCAAATAGCTAGAGTTTAGAAAGCATGAAACATCTTTAAGTGAGTGTCTACAAAGTTTGTTCAAATAAAAGACCTGGGGTCAAAATTGGCCCGCCCCGGGGGTCATTGATTTTCATTATATGTGTATAGCAAAAACTTAAAATCTTCTTTGAAAAAACCCAAATAGCTAGAGTTTAGATATTAAGCATGAAACATCTTCTAGTAAGTGTCTACAAAGTTTGTTCAAATAAAAGCCCTGGGGTCAAAACTGGCCCAGCCCCAGGGGTGTCATTGTTTTTAACTATATGTGTATAATAAAAACTTTAAAAAAATCTTCTTTTAAAAAGCCCAATGAGCTAGAGCTTAGATGTTTAGCATGAAACATCTTCTTATGGGTGTCTACCAAGTTTGTGCAAATAAAAGCCCTTGGGTTAAAATTGGCCCTGCAACGTTGGGGGGGGGGCCTATATACAGGTGAGCAACCTCAGGGCCATCATGGCCCTCTTGTTTTACTGTTACTTCTTTATTCCTTAAGGGATCAACCTCATACTTCATCCCCATCACATGTGACAACGTAAATAACTCTAGCACCAATATTTTCAGATTTATCTCCCCTTGAACTTAGAATTTTCCTAAAAAAATACTATTTTTAGCTCACCTGTCACAAAGTGACAGGGTGAGCTTTTGTGATTGCTTTTCGTCCGACGTCCGTCCGTAGTCCATCCGTCCGTCCGTCCGTAAACTTTTGCTTTAAATGACATCTCCTCATAAACCACTGAGCCAATTTCATCAAAACTTCACAGGAATGTTCCTTTGGTGGTCACCTTCAAAAATTGTTCAAAGAATTTAATTCCATGCAGAACTCTGGTTGCCATGGCAACCGAAAGAAAACTCTTTAAATATCTTCTTTTAAACAACCCTAAGAGCTAGAGCTTAGATATTTGGCATGAAACATCTTCTAATGAGTGTCTACCAAATTTGTTCAAAGGAAAGCCCTGGGGTCAAAATTGGCCCCGCCCCAGGGGGTCATTGATTTTCCCTATATGCATATAGTAAAAACTTAAAAAAAATCTTTTAAAGAACCCAAAGAGGTATAGCTAAGATATTTACCATGAAACATCTTCTTTTGGGTGTCTACCAAGTTTGATCAAATAAAAGCCCTGGGGTCAAAATTGGCCCTGCCCCCAGGGGGTCATTGATTTTCCCTATATGCATATAGTAAAAACTTAAAAAATCTTCTTCTAAAAAACCCAAAGAGCTAGAGCTTAGATATTTGGCATGAAACATGTTCTAATGGATGTCTACCAAGTTTGTTCAAATAAAAGCCATAGGGTCAAAAATGGCCCCGCCACAGGGGGTCATTGATTTTCCCTATATGCATATAGTAAAAACTTTAAAAAAAATTCTTTTAAAGAATCCAAAGAGCTAGAGCTAAGATATTTAGCATGAAACATCTTCTTATGGGTATCTACCAAGTTTGTTCAAATAAAAGCCCTGGGGTCAAAATTGGCCCCGCCCCAGGGGGTCATTGATTTTCCCTATATGCATATAGTAAAAACTTATAAAATTTTCTTTTAAAGAACCCAAAGAGCTAGAGCTAAGATATTTACCATGAAACATCTTCTTATGGGTGTCTACCAAATTTGATCAAATAAAAGCCCTGGGGTCAAAATTGGCCCCGCCCCAGGGGGTCATTGATTTTCCCTTAATGCATATATTAAAAACTTAAAAAATCTTCTTTTAAAGAACCCAAAGAGCTAGAGCTAAGATATTTAGCATGAAACATGTTCTAATGGATGTCTACAAAGTTTGTTCAAATAAGAGCCCTGGGGTCAAAATTGGCCCCACCCCGGGGGTCATTGATTTTCCTTATATGTGTATAGAAAAAACTTATAAAATCTTCTTTAAAAAAAAACAAATAGCTAGAGTTTAGATACTAAGCATGAAACATCTTCTAGTTTCTACCAAGTTTGTTCAAATAAAAGCCCTGGGGTTAAAATTGGCCCCGCCCCGGGGGTCATTCCTTTTCCTTATATGTGTTATACAAAAACTTTAAAAAATCTTCTTTGAAAAAACTCAAATAGCTAGAGTTTAGATATTAAGCATGAAGCATCTTCTAGTGAGTGTCTACAAAGTTTGTTCAAATAAAAGCCCTGGGGTTTAAACTGGCCCCGCTCCAGGGGCCTATATACAGGTGAGCGACTTCAGGGCCATCATGGCCCTCTTGTTTTATTTGATTATCAATCAAAAAAATTACTGTTACTGCTCACGGAATGCAAGGGCCGTAATAGTTTTAGGTTAACGATATTTGGAAGAGTATTGTACCTTTACTACTCGATGGAGAAAATGTAAACAAAACGTGTTTGAAGTTGAAATATCCAATATATAATCCGCACATACACTTCGGGTGTCGTCCCGAGAGTGAAAAAAACTGCTCATTATATACAGGTTTTTACGGTATTGTGTGTTATGATGTATTCCAGTCCAACAGACCTTCAATTCGACTGTAAACATGTATTAATATTAAGAGGTCACAATTTTAGCACAATGTTAATAAAACTTGGTCACAATGTTAATTTCAGCAATAGAGTTATGGCCCTATTTAGGAAAATAATG